AGTAGACATCCTACAGAAATTCTGTGTTGCTGTTTTCCCATGAGCGCTCAGAACAAAGATATAGCTCGGCGGCACGTTGCTCACCAATGGAAAGCATTGATTCTTCTTCGAGTAGCTCGGTGATTGACAGAGTCGCTCGCTGCACAGATGAATGCCGTAGTGTTATCAGTGCAGTTTCCAGCAAAAAACTTGATTGTCAATGCTCTTAGCAATATTGCTATACTATGTGCCAGATAATATATAGCACCAGCTCCTACGGGATGCCATGCAACCATAAAAGCAGATCAGAAGATGATATTGGGTGGGATCGAATCTAGAACCATCCTGCATAAAAGAGGACCACCGAGTGAGGATGCTCTTCATTCGAGCGCTGCTCCACTCAACTGTATTCGACTGGTGTGGCAACAAAGGTCCGCATCGCGAAGATGAACGACCATGAACAATCGTCTCGCTTTAATTGGGATCCGAAGAAGATGAAAATGTTGGCGGAATAAACTTTATACCAGTGTCCTGTTAGCTTAATAGTCCAATTAAATATTTACTATTTATTCCAATGTTAATTGAAAATGAGTTTTAGAAAAATTTCACTGTCGTGAGTACAAAGAACTATAGTTCTTTCCATACTATTCCGATCGAGAACTGCTCTCATATTAAAATAAGACGCGTCTCGAATGGTTGCCCTTTGTTGTCATTGTCAAATAACAGGCGAGTTGGAGAGAAAGGCAGGCAGGCAGGAAAACAGAAAGAAAGACAGGCAGACACACAGACAGAGAGACAGACAGACAGACAGGAAGACAGATAGACAGATGGACAGACCGATGGGGAAAGAGCGAGAGAGCAGATGTCACTATTTTTCAATCACCCTTGGCTTGTGGGTGAGCAACGTTGTGTACTATCTTCGAAAGTTATGTTCTTTGATGGTTCAAGTTCAGGAGTCATAACTTCCACCAACGTATGAAGTTCCTGTAACTAAAGGATGACTGAAAAGAAAATGTCTATTTTAAAAGGTTTATAATCTGCGTATATCCTTTCATTAATAACCAGTGACACGAAAAAACTTCTAGTTTACTTATGTGCTGTAATATTTCCCTCATTTTTTCCGTGCATTTTCCCTATTACATGGAAATCGTATTCACGTTGTTTTTTTCTTCAGACTAGTTATTTTGCTTGAAATTTGGAAGCGCTGCAAACAGTGATGGACGTTTTACCCTGCAAAACGGTGCCCGGCTATCGGCTCCTTATGAAGATCGGAAGTCTGTTGTTCAAGTGCAAAGACGGTGGAGGACCAAGAAGGTGGAGGCAAAAATGCCCAAGTTGACGCAAAGCTGTTCAGGAATTCTCATCCAAAACTCATTATTGCAGGTTCTGCAAGTGATCTCAATGAAGAGGTCGGCATTCGACATTCCAGTTGCAGTGCAAAGTATTCAACCTAACATTATACTTCCATGTGATTTCTGTGCGGTTGGTTTCTACGTGACATACTTAGTGGAAACCTCATAGAAAGCGGCTCTGAGGAAGGCGAAATCCGCCGAAACGTCAGCTTATTCGTCAATAAAGAACAATAACACCTCGCGTTTGCTCAACAAAAATACGAAGAATTATTCAACCTATGTTTGCTCATTACACTTTTTTCCTCTGCAGTTGGTTAAAGGAGAAGTCTGCTTTAGGAAACGTGCGGCTTTGGAAGGACTCGAAGAGCAACTACGAAAAGTTATGTTTTCATCACGTAAGAGTTCTTAGTGAAATCGGCTGGTGCGTTTCCTGAGCGACTTAAGAAGCTGATGACGTATTCGAAATTGGAATAATGCTCAGTACCATACGCTTCCTTCTTCTACTCATTTCTGGTGAAAATAATAGCTAAGAAATAAATTATAAGATTATCATAATTATTAAACATGTACGGCTTGTCGATTCAGCAGTTGATGACACTCTTAAAGGAGTGCCTTAACTACTCAATCTTCAGATGGTCCGGGAGGTATCAGGCACAAATGAGAGGGCTGGCAATGCGACAGCGACTGGCACCAAGCCTTGCCATTACGTTCATGTCTGAGGTGGAAGCGCCAGTAATCGACCTCGGTCCGTTACTCTACTGTAGATATATAGATGACTGCTTGGTCATTTGTTCAACACAAAAAGAAATTGACCGATGTTCCGAGTTGTTGAACGAACAGTCGGACTATATTAAACTCACCCGAGAGAAACTAAAAGAAAATTGGTTTCCATTCCTGAACGTGCAAATTAACCTAACTGAAAACGGCTACATTACGAAATGGTATCGAAAGCCAAATAGTAAAAACATCTTGGTTCATTACCTCTTCTCTCACCGCTCTGTCACACGCAAAGGGGGCTTGTGAGAAACATGTTTCGAACAGCTACCAGCGTGTGCACAGGAAGACAGCAGAGAGAGGAGTCCCGGAACTTGGCTCGGCAAATAGCCATTTTTAATAGCTGCGAAACTGTAGCTCAAGATAGGTGTAGAGGAAACCTCAGGCACTCCAACGAAAACTCTAGCGACAATAAGGTTTCGTTTATACTGCCCCTCATCAAATGGAGTAAGCTATAATACGCTGTTTAAGAAGAGCCGGTCTAGAGAATTCGGTAACGATAATTGAAATGCCACCGAGTAATCTAAGACGCCAGCTAGTTCGTAACCGCCTATACGACCGTCTTTGTGCAACGCAAAATTGCATAATTTGACCCAATGGTAGAGACGGTGACTGCATGAGCCCAGGTACAGTCTATCTGATCTCTTGTAAAGCGTGCGGGAACGAATTCGTTGGCGAAACGGGTAGACCACTCTGTGTCCGCATAAAAAACACCTAGTCGGCAAACGTAAACCAGGTGCTCCAATAGGCACGCACAGGACGCAGAGACATAACGGAGAAGATTTTGAAATAGGGGAAACGATCTTCGCGCAAAACTCTAGGGACATTCTGGATTAATTCCATGGATTCGAAAATGAACCGCAGGGAGGAATGCCTCATTATCACGCGTAATATTGGGCAGTACATAAGCCTGTTATTTTGATGAGATGTGCACATATAATTCCGTGTGAACTCTGTGCGGTTGGTCTTCATGCGACATACTCAGTGGAAGACCCATAGAAAGCGGTGAGTGTGCAAAGACTGTGTGTTCAATGTGATTGAAATTTTGGTTCAGCATTTTCTGTTTGGTTATGGAGGTGTTTGGCCGTGTAGATCGTAGTCAACTTGACTTTCCAGGCTCTGAGGAAGGCGAAATCCGCCGAAACGTCGGCTTGTACGTTAATAAAGAAATAAAGTAACAGCTCGTGTTTGTTGAACAGAAATAGAAAGAATTATTCAATCCATGCCGAGGTTAGTAGAAAGTCGGACGTAGGAGTTAAATTATAAGAATTTTAAAATAGGGGCCTATTTTACAATCATCCTGTGCTTCAAGTTGTCGTTCTATTATTAGCGTTATCAAACGCGTTTTATAGAAATCTTTAAGGCGCAAAAAAACGTCCTAGAGTTACTAATGAATTTGCCAAATAACAGATCTTGATCGGTTCTAGAAAATATTACGAAGCCTTATGGACTTGACATCGTATCGAAGACATCTCAAAATTATTTTTCCAAATGTCACTGCATATTTTATCTATTTGCATATTTTTATGGCTCGACTTAACATATTGTGCAGATTGCCGCACTTTTTCTATTCTTTCTTTGGCTTATATCATTCACGAATGCCGGTAAAGTTGATCGCCCTTCAGATGTCTGTGTTAGATCACTCCATGCACTAAAGCATAGGCAGTCAGCAGCCCTTGTGGCCTGCGCGGTTTTCTCAGACAAGTCTGGTACCAATTTGCTGACCTTTAAGTGGATGCTAGACTCAAATGGCCTGTAGCGGGGTCGAACCAGCGACTATACATGCATTATTGCACAGAGTCTCTAATCACTCTGGGCTTTCCGTGCTTTTGCTTCCACTGCATGAAAAACGTATTACCGACCAATTTTCAAAATTATTTATTACTGGAAAAGCTAATAATAACCCGCATTACGTAGAGCAATATTGCACATAATTTGAAATATAAAATGAAGCAGACCCATTAGGTCGTTGTACACACGTAGACCCCTTTAATATGAAAAAAATAAGTGGTCGATACAGTAGACACTACTGCTTCTCAAAATTATCTCGAAAACAAGTACCAGTGAAGAGAAGATACTAGAACGGTCAAATTAACACATGGAAAACAATCTGCACTCAGTTGAGCGCTGGTTTCAACAAGGAATCAGGTGATAACCAAATTACACCACTGACTTAGCGTCAGTTTGGTCACATAAATCTGGAGAACTAACACTGCGGCGAATGTTCGCCGCCGGTGCGTCGGAGGAGAAGCGCTGCGAAGATGCTAGTTTTCGTGCCAAGATCTCTGGATTCAAGATCAAGTCGCCTTTCCTGAAAGCGTCCCGCAGATTTTTACCCATATTGCTGTTAAGTGTTGCCTCCGCTGTTTTCTCGGAGATGGTGTCTTCATCGCCAATTGTCTCCGAGTACATGAAGTTGGAACTAAATGAAACGCTGTTGAGTGGCTGTAACGTTATATATATATATATATATATATATATATATTATACCAATGAAAATTACTCCTTTACCAAGACTGGAAGGGGATGGATTTATTTTTAGTGTTGAAGGCAAGCTGCAGCAAAAATATACCGTTTTGAGTTTATATTGGGAGCGAAGTGAAGAATATCACAAGTTCGATTTCTTTTTCGTGAAATTTCCCCCATAATTTTCACCTAAGCTTGACGTTTAGGTTAACTGACGCGTAAGTGAAGGAAAACCCGTTAGTGTGATAACCGCATTGTTTTATTCCTTGAGGCAGTGCTCGTATCTCTCGTATATGCAACATTCGGCGATACACTAGTTTTGTAACGAATTTCGGCCTGTTATTTGTCGCAATTGTCTAGTTGAACTGGTTTCTTTCCAAATCAGTAGTTTTGAGAACAATCATTAATCCCAAGATCAATAACGACAACTTACTGATCTTGATGATGAATAGACGCCATGCCGATGACATGCTCCAGCTCCTCAGCCACTGTATTAACGTTGGCGATCATCTTTTTCGACCAGCGAAGAGCTCGAGTGAAGTGTTCTTCTGACTTCTGTTCACTGCCGTCCATTTCGGGCATGATTTCTGAAATTGTTAGAAATCAAGTCTGCGATGCCGACGTGGAAGAATAACGATAAGTGATCGCGATCTGCTCGGTGTAAACATCGCTCCTAATGATATCACATCCCAGTTTGATGATGAAGACATTTCCGGTGAACGATGTTTATATCAATATAAAGAAACTGACCCTTGATTGGTGCTTCCAAATCGATCTCCTTTTCGCTCGGACCGCAGCACCCGCATATTCTAGCGATAAGCGATCGTTGGCCGGGCTTTCTTGGCAGTATAATAAAGAGAAACAATTGTCCGACAGCTAGCGCCGATCCGATTCCGTTTGGAGTCTAGAATATATGTAATGAAGGCTAGATTCCACCTTTGGTGCTTGTCAGCTCTATGAAATAACTACTTAAATATATGCCATCAGTCTACATTTGTAATGATTTCCAGCTAAAAATTATGCGGTTAACAAGATGTGCGTAGAAAAAAAACGTACAATGAGGTATATATCCCTAACGAGAAGTCCGTAGAGGAACCATTCAGATGATACCATGAAATTGGCGATACATAGCGGCAGTGGCAGCGTAGAAGTTGCTCCGCGACGAATTACCACCCGCTAAAAAGTCGATTCCAGAATTTACTAATGGTTTCGACACTTGAAAAGTCATTCTCAGGGGTAATTATTTAATGACTGAGATTAGTCGATACCTCGCTCTGGGCACGATTTTTTATGTTTATACAAAACATTACTGGAGCATTGCTGTTGGTTCATCATTTTCCCGAATCAGGATAGAAGCATGATTTAACGGTTTGTGACTTCGGCCCATGTGAAAAAGAAGTGGAAACTGCTACAATTCCTTTAACCACTAGATATTTCACTAAAGGTTAAAGCACTCGGTGTTGACAAATACTTGATATTTGAACGGCCCGTCATCACCAGTTGTGCGGTCTACAGCATAATCACCATTTTTCAGAGATTTGCTGGTTAAGTCATTGTGGTCCCCTGAAAACCCGAGGACAGCCTGAGCAAAGTGTGCCCAGGTCTTCACCACCACAGGCAGTCGCAACTCTTATGAATCAGAGAAAGATTTACCACCACGCGACTTTGATACCAAGACGGTGGTGGATCCTGGTATTGGTGTCGGCTCTTGGTTAGGCTTCCTGATGGAAACGCCGAACTCCCTCTCACCTTGGGAGGCCTTGCCAGTGGGATGAAATCTCCCGCTGTACATCACTGCCCGACACCCAGGAACACTCCCCAGCCATAATGAGGTGGTAAACCGTTTGGATGAGGATGAAAATAGCGGTATAAATTTACTAAACAAAGTTTACTTTATGAAATTAACTAACGTTATGAAATCCGACAATACCTTTTCAGTTGAAAACATGAGGGATTTCAAATTTCTTATTACTGACTGAGCACTAAATATTTTTTGTCCATTTCGCTTTGTCTTAGAATCAGACGAAGACGTCGAAACGTTAGCCGAATTAGCCCTTTTATCAGCACCGTGTTAACTTAATGATCCAAGAAGATACTAAGTACTAGACAATTTACAGATCTACAGGTTTTGTGGTTTTTATGTTTTTTAAGAACTTTTTAAGAAATGTGTGCTTGTTGCGCAGTGGAGTCGTCCTGCAATATACATGGGTTCGATCCCTGCGCCCCAGGCCCACCAAACATTCCCTCTCCGGGGTCGGCAAGTTGGTACAAGACTTGTCTGGGAGGATAGCAGCACTGGCTCCAGGCATCGGTAAGTCATCGTTAATCATTCATTGTAAAGGCCAAATATGCACATAATCAATCGCCTACAACAATGCCTATTGAAGTCGAACGCACGCGCGTCCCTCAGAAATTGATCAACCCCAAAAGCTTTATCCATTTTTATGTTTAAGAATTTCAGTTTGGAAGTGTCAAATAATTGATTGGATCGCGTATATGTTAAGACGCTCTTTTTCGCCATACTTCAATTATTATTTGAATTTCATTGCCTTCTTTTTATAATAGCCTTTTAGTGGAAGTTCTTCACTGTAGTCTGGGCTTTTTCATGATTTTTAAAAAATATGAAGACTTACCAGACCAGCAAGCGGTGCAGCGAAATCACCTATGTTTAGCGTCATGCATACAATTCCGAGGGGATGAAAGACTTTCATTCCGAACAATTTCACAGAGCCGATCAGAGCTGCACACATTGCCAATACCACACTTACTTTGATGGTGATAAAAAGCTGTAATAAGAAACTCTAGCCTAGCGGATGTTTATTTTGGTTTGTTAGCCCAATTTGATTGGTATACTCGACGAGCAGACACCAGCCCACCACTAAACAATAGACGTAATGAAAACGACAACACCACAGGAAGAACTGGATTAGATAGCAAATGGTGGGGCTTTGTTGCAAAGCCACAAAGCCACGGTGCTACAAAAACTTTCCCTATAGTCAGGTTGCGGCCAAGTAACAACTTCAGGTGGACTAGTTTTGCAGACTGAAACGCTTATTGTAAAATTACCTTCTCTTTGCTCATTAACCAGTAGAATATGCTGTATGAAGAATAGAGTATCACTTGACAACCAGTCACCACCAATACGGTATGATCTTTTTTCAGATATCCATAAGTCATCCAGCAACATCCACTGGAAAGGAAAACGTATCTTGCACACAAACCACAAAAGTGGAACTTTGTTCCGGACTCAAATAGCTGAAAATTTCCTTATCGTAGAAGAAACTGCTTTCGTGCTAATAGTCAAATGAACTCGTCCCAACTGCTCTTTGATGTTATTTACTACCGACTAAACTCAGAGAATAGGGACCAAATTCGATAGCTGTAAAATTGTCGATAACTCACCCAAGTACTCCCATCAGGAATGGTGCGCCGGAAATCTCAGTGGTGTCTTTACGTTTCCAAATTTGGCGACAAATAGGACTGAAAAAATAGGGATTTCTGGTTAATATGCGTCTCAAGAAAAAGCAATCTAGTTAACTTACATTCCACAGAAGAATAAGCCAACGGTGGTGAAAAAGGCGGCCAGTGAGAGTAAATTGAGAAATGAGAAACCGTCAGTAAAAACCTCGAACATCGTTTGAAAAACGTGTAAAAAACTAAAATTTTCAAGCTAGAATTAGATCAACTGCTTTTATGGAATGGAGAAGTGGTAAAAATGATTATACATTAGAGAGAGAGGTGTGTAAAAAATAAGCAAGACAACCACTGAATGCAAATACATTTATAATAATAAACTGAGGTGGCATGACTTCAAATACTTTTCAATAATGTGACGACAGAGTTCACTGAGATGGAAGAGCACTGATAATTAGCCAAGAAATTTATCGCCAACGTAAATAATCAACAAACATAGCGGTTGCCTCCGATTTGTGCGCGTCTGATAATGTGCGGTTGACCGGCTTTTGTACCAGCGACCGTAATCGGCAGTGGGTGGAGCCAACGGACATTGCCTTTAACAGGGATCCATACACACATACTGACATACACACATTTATACACATACCCACATACAACATGCCTAGATACATACATACATACATACATACATACATACATACATACATACATACATACATACATACATACATACATACATACATACATACAAACATACACACATACATACATACGTACATACATGCACACATACGTACTTACATACATAAATATCCCCATAAATAAATTTAGACATGTGCAAACACACGTGGACAACGCGTTCGACATTCGTCTTGCGATCTTTCATTAGTCGTCACTGATCCACAGCTTTGAACAAAATTAGAAACACCTGAGCGCTCAGTATTACCAGTTACTCTTTAATCTTTAGGTTTAATCGTTCTATTCACTCACATCAGTTCAAAAACCTCATTAAGGGGTAAATTATTTGATAGGATTTAAATGACCGGAAGTAGTAAAGCTATATAGTAACGGACATGATTTTGTAGTAAAAGTCGCTATCGTCGGACAGGAATCCAAAACACCAGTGCTTAGAACTCCTGAAGCGCTTCGGATTACTACCAAAAATCCAAAAGTGAACCGCAAAGAGGAGTGTCTTGTCGTCACACGTGACTTGGAGCCATACCTCAGGCTGATTTTATGACCTGACCCAGAGATATTCCTCACCGATGTGTGACTCTGTGTTGCTTCAGGTTATGTAAGTGTTTGGCTCAGTAGATTGCATGTCAATTTGACCTCTTCGGGTTGTGAAGAAAGCGGAACCGCCGCAACGTCGGCTATTGCGTGCTAATAAATGTTATTATACCAACGTCGTGTTTTGTCACTGAAGGAAAACAGTAGATTATTTAGCAGCAATTAGGTGTTTTAGTAGCAATAAGTGCTGTATAGTACTAAGTTGGTATGATTTGCCAAAGTATGTTTCATTTTGCTTTTTTAGAAAACTCAAGCCGGTTTTCTCAAGTGACAAATGCGTTATAGTAGGACAGTAAACTACATTACAGTATTGCAGTAGTACACATATTTGCTTTAAATCAGATGTGTTTCTGCTGAGAGATGGGCGAAACGAAGGACCCGCATGGTGTGGTGGTGAACTCTTTAACCCTCGAAAAAGGTAATAGCGCGTTTGTTCCACACCGCTGACACCTGTGGTCTGGAGTTTTGCAAATATCTCAGCACCCTTGTGGTTGTATCACACGTAATTTCCTGCCATGAAAAATTGTAATAGGCAATAAATAAAAAGTTGACATTCAGATGTGTTTGTTCGGTCGACAAATTGATCAGTGAAAGATCTGTGGAACGCAACAAGTAGAATCGTGATGATTCGTTGTACAGAGAAGACGCGGTTTCGTTTTTAGAAGCTGTGACTTCCCAACTGGAAACTGCTGAGTGGAAAATGTGGCTGTGAATTCCTGCAAACTAGTTCATTAACATTCTGCGTTGCATCGTTCAGTATATTCAGGAAGCAGCCGAGTACCAAATGGAAGTAGAATGCAACATTACAGCTTTTGTTTAACAGACACGATCACTATTGCAAGTCCGGTAAGCGTTGACTAGACAAGAAGATGGAAAAATAAGTGTACCTTATCATATTAACTGTTTTCCACTCAAAAAATGGCTAATGATACCATTAGGAAGGGCCCATGTTTAACAGTTGTACACCACTATTTTAAGTTAAAAACTTGAGTTTATCAACGAACCGATAGGGCGGTCAGCAGAGCACTGCTGTTGTGACACTTTCGCAATCTTTTATTTGGAAAAGGATCTTGTTGGAAAGGAAGAGCCCTCCTATGACAGGCGTCTAGGTCGCACAATTTCAATGCTCTTATAATTTCGCGACACTAGAAGACTCAACTATCATCATTGTGTTAAAGCTAACAGTCGCGTGTGGTATATGTCAGGGTCGGAACAAAAGTACTAACTCTATGCAGAAACCTCGACATATGATAGACATCTAATCATCGAAAAAAGGACCAGGAATTTCACGCTTCTACCAAACTAAACTGAATGGTAGCCGAGCAGCTGAGTAGATAGTAGGGAAGCATAGCATATTATATAACGTCGGCTCCACTAAGCATTTTCATGTAGATTTCGTCATTTTTGCTTTATTCTTTATCACAACACCTAAAGGTCTTGTCATGGAAAAGGTTACTCGTTATTGATCGAATTTCTTTAAACTACATAAAATAACCATGACTTGTTCTTTTCTTCAGCAAGAAAAGGAATGGCAAGAAAAAGTACCGAAGTGCAGTTTGGGAGAGATTTTTTCATGTGTTGCAGCTCATAGTGTAAGTACAGTGGTTACAGTTTTATTTAGAGTACTGTAACCTACGCTTATCAGTACTACCGAGTATCTTCACTAATAAATTTTCTGTGACCGATGCAGTTAAAAAACCACGAAGTTCATTTTTATTGAATTATACAATAACTGATGGTTTCTATCATTAACCATTGAAAGGTGAACTGAACTGTACCTGGAAAAAAATTTCTTGCTATTAATAAGTGGAACCTGTCGGCACTGGTTTAGTAGAAGGTCAGAATCTGACCAGAACTTGTTGTTTTCTATTGAGAATAGTGAAAGCGAAGAAAAACAAATTCTGAGATGCGATGAGAATTCCGTGGTGATAGAAATCAGTTAAACAATTGTGCACCCATGAGTTAAATAAACGTCATAATAAGTGATTTTTATTGCTATAATGTTTTATTTGTAGTTCAAATCGCTTATTCACTTCTATTATCTTATTATTTAGTAAGTTGTTATGATATTATTGTGATTTTCTCACAGTGTGTACTACGAATTGGCACCGATAGGAAGCCGGCTAGTCTGTTTTGGTCTCGTTGAGATGAGCGCAAACCTGCTGCTGTGTCGTTTCTTCATAGTATCTGTCACTAAGTGGTAATTCAGAACAAATAAGCACCACATGATAGACTGTTAAAATGACACCAATAATAAATGTTTTTCTTCCCGCGACACCACAGAACGTCTTTGAGGGAACTGCATGTTCTAATCCACAAACGCATCGACGTTGATTCATTTCCTGTGGCCTCATTCTTAAGAACAACAGTATACAGCGCGCTTAATTTTTATTCTTCTACTTTATGCGAGATGAAATGAAAACCCTCAAACAGCACCGTAAACCACACGTAGATGGTGGATACGAGGAAGCGAATCGAATATGAGAAATGCTGGGATCTGCACTGTAGATGTGAAAATGGGTCACACGGAAATTAAAAAAAGGAACTCTATACGGTCAGACATTGCATATTGTCGTGATCCTAACAATCCTTCCTTCCAATTCATTTGCACGTGGGTGAAGCTGCTTGTAGATTTCGATTTTTTACGAATGTTGCTAAAATCTGGCTGATTTAATTTCGCCTCCCACCCAGAATCAAGGGTTAGCAGAACCATGGCGTACTCAGATCTTTATTTCAGGCAATCGCCCCCTTTCCTAAACGAAATGGTGCAAGATGATCTCTAGGCTGGGTACCAAGGGGATAGGTAATCCACCCCGTAGGAATGGGGCTCGTCCACTCCGCATGGTCAAAGTAACAATCTTGTTTGTACTCCAGAGAACCACCAACTACTGCACTACCTGCCCTTTTTTCTATTAAATACACAAAATTGAGGAAATCTTTCGAATAAAAATTCATGGACGTAAAAGTGCCGAAATTCTTCATAATGAATCAGGTAGAGAAGTATTGTTTTGTCTTATAGTTATCAAATCAAAATATTGGGCCGTAAATAGAAATGATATTTGCCCGTAAACCGGTTTCTGACTAAATCAAAAGTCAATTTGCCAGCAATTTTTCACTAAGATCTGTGTTATCCAATAGGTAACTTCTTTAAGAAAGTAAGAGTGAGAAAGTATAATGCGCTCAGAGTTGACCTATATCCAAGAGGAACAGACAGAATTGTCAACTCAGTGCTTCACCTTCGTAGACAAATCTAGTACCAATCAAGAGGGTGGAATGTCCAATATCAATATGACCAGAATTCTTACAGTTCTCTAGGGCGTTCATCCTCTGAAACAGTTGCAAGTGTATTGTCTTTAATGATCGGTACAGATGTTTGATACTGAAATGTTGTTGGCTTTACGAATGCTACACTGGTTTAACAATGAGAGATTATTTTTCTATTTGGAAGGTACTCTTCACATGGTATCCACATAAAAACTATCCGGAAGAATGATAATGTGTTCCACGGCTGATTAAGTCACACTCCTGATGAATGGATGTGCTATTTTAATACACTCGCAACAGTGTAAACTACAACAACGGTACTGGATGGTGCTCAATTTGCAATGATGGGTCAATTCCTGGCGCATATATACATACGTATATTTAGATATATATATGTATATAAAAAGATAAAAAAGATGGAGTTTCCGGCGTTGATCAATCCCTGAGGGATGTGTCATGCAATCGACTACATTAAGCATCGCTTGGAGGTGATTAGATGCATGTCTGGCCTTTACAATAACTCGCGGTGATCTACCGATGTATTGAGCCAGTGCTGCTATCCTCCCAGACAAGTCTGACACCAATTTGCCGATCCTGCAGAGATAGAGGGTTTGGTGAGCCTAGGGCGAATGGGCCAATCTTATTGTATTGCAGTGGGCTTCT